TGTGCAGCTCAGGCCCCAGAACTCACCAGCACGAGAACCTGAAAAGATCCATCACTGCACCTGCTGTGGAAGCACCAGTAATGGGCTCAAATGTCAGCACAGCTTCTGCATATACAAACCCATAAATTTTGCCAACCCCAGTGGCCAGGCCCTTGCTTTGCTATAAGCATGCCAACAACAGGGCTCCTCAGGTCGACCCATGCTCCATCCTGCACACATCCCAGCCACAGACTGGGCCACATTCCAGGCCCTTTGGGCTGTCCCCACACAGCCAAACTAAGTCTCCTCCCTGGGTCTGTTTCCTGAAGTCTGAGTTTCAGCACCCAAGCCCTGGGCAAACCAGGAGGTGGGTGTCTCAGGCTGGGATGTGCAATGAGATGACCAAGACCATCTGTGATGATCTCCCTCTTCCCCGAGGGGCACAACGCAGCTCCCACACTCACCTCGAGCCCCTGGAGTTCTCTCCCTGTCCTGGTGGGAAGACTTTCAGCCAGCAGAGGAGGCTTCCAGGATGAGGGGTCATTTCTCCTCTCATAGCTCCCTCCTGGGTTGGGGAGGGTGCAGCTTACAGCCCAGTTCTCTTCTTTGCCCTGTTCCCTTTGTCGTACCCTGTAATGTGGGGCTCTTTCTTGCAGCTCTGGTTGTCTCAGATCTTCTGCAGGCTGTCGGAAGGCACGCTGTGAGAACTGTTGCACACACCTAATGTGTCTGGGTGTGTCTATGGGAGAGTTGAGCCCCACGTCCCTCTACTCCACCATCTTGATCTCCTCCCATCTCCCCTGGTTTCTTACAATAAAATATGAGAAGAGAGAAAACTGACTTAAAGACATAATTGATATTGGAGAAACCGTAACAGGTTTGCCCAGTTTTGATAAGGAGATGACCATCGACTGCCCACCTTAACCAAACTTAGGAGTTATTTCCCTAGAGGACCTGAGGAGAAGCCAGGCCAATTTTCCACCACAGTGGAAGAACAACCCCGGGGGCACTTTGGAGCTCTTTGAGGCTGGCCCTCTCATCACAGACCAGAGTGTGAAAGCCTGAAGGCAGGATGGAGACAAAGCGGGGCCCAGCTGGCCAGCCCCGCCTCATATCAAGGGCTCTGAAAGTGGTCCGTCCTAGCCGTGCTCCTCGTCTTGATCGAGGGCTCCCCAGCCTTCACAACCGTGAGAAATAACTTCCCACGTTTGGAAACTGCCCAGGTAGTGGCATTTCATTGTAGCCAACGGAAGCGGACTAGCGCTCTGTGACGCACCATCTCTGACGGGTGTAAGAAGACCGGCGTCTTCCAGTTTTTCAGCTTTTTGCTTCAGCTGCACGGGAGTGCTGACTTACGAGCCTCTTACGTGCTCAACCAGAAACCAAAACTCTGTTTGTCATGTTTGAATAATGAAGCTGTTATTTCTCTTCCTATGATTCATTACTTCTTTACTTTTGTGAGTCCCATCAGAAATGTTGACTAAAGTCCTGCTGGCAGCTGTTTGTCTCATTCATGGCTTCCAAGGAAAGTCATTTCCCTTTATTTTTCTTTTTTCATTTGTGATTCTTCCTTTATTTTGTATTTATTGTTTAACATTTTTTATTGATTTATAATCACTTCACACAGTTGTGCTAAATTCTAGTGCAGAGCACAATTTTTCAGCTATACATGAACATGCATATATTCGTTGTCCCATTTTTTTCTCTGTGAGCTGCAAGATCTTTTCCCTTTAAAGGGGATGTTCTTGGTTAATAGATAGCCTTTATTTGAATAATTAAAGCTTATTTTTACATGACTCTTGCATGATTTTTTCTTAAGTCCAATGACTTGAAGTGTTAAATCCAGTCATATGAACTTCAACTGATTAGTAATAAAAAAGAGACTGCAGGGACAACGTGGAGCCACAAAACCATGACTTGACACCTAAATTAATCACATCTTAACCTCTCCCAGGAGTGGAGCCTTCAGACAGTGGATTTGAAATAGCCTGGTCAGCACTAATGCGATTGTCTACCTAATGGACTCCTTCTGTCCCCCACAGGAAGGTGACATTGCCTGAAAGGTCCGCTGTTGGCAGTGACTTCCTTGATACCCCCTTCTGTTTACACGAGTTTTTCATTTTGGGCAGCCCTTCAGAGCTCCTTTCTGTCTGCTTGATGGATGCTGCCTGCGTCATGAATCATAAAGCAAATGAGATATTTAACGTTTACACAGTTGACTTTTATTTAATTAGACAACACTGTGTTGTAACATGTGCTTTTCCCCCCTTAAACTTTTATTTAGTTTTATTCTTACTGACGTATAGTCGGTTGACAATGCTGTGTCCATTTCTAGTGTACAGCACAATGTTTCGGCCCTACATACACATTCATGGGTTGGTTTTTATATTCTTTTCCATTTCAGGTTACTACAAGATATTGAATACAGCTCCCTGTGCTTTGAAGAAGAAACCTTGTTTATCGATTGTATATACAGGAGTTAGTTTCCGCAAATCTCTGACTCCTAACTTGCCCCTTCCCATCCCCTTGCCCCCCGGTAACCATGGGTTTGTCTTCTGCGTCTGTGCATATGTTTCCGCTTTGACAATAAGTTCGTCTGTGTCTCTTTTTCAGATTCCACATAGGAGTGATCTCGCGTGATATTTCCTGTCTCTTTCTGGCTTGCTTCACTTAGAATGATGATCTCCAAGCCCATCCGTGTTGCTAACATGCAGTTTTCCTGTGGACAGTTATGTTTGTTTCATCAACACTTCTTTAGGATGTATGCATTTGACTCCATCAGACACACGATTCAAGGTGACCGGATCCAAATGTGGAAGTTTCCCTGCACTGGCACCACTTGTCCACTGGAGAACGAGAGAAGAACAGGGCATCACGGACACTGGTCCACAGGGGCTCTGACCAACCAGGTTTGCTCTTCCAGATTCCCTACTCCTGCCTCAGCACCTGCTTCTGTGACCTTTGCACAGGAACCTGCCCTTTGCAGTGGCCTTCATGACCCTGCCCTGAGCCCCTTGACTATGTTCTCCGAGGCTGGAGA